AATGTAGTCGTGTGCCACAGTTTATATATATATATATATATATATATATATATATATATATATATATATATATATATATATATATATATATATATATATATATATATATATATGTGTGTGTGTGTGTGTGTGTGTGTGTGTGTGTGTGTGTGTGTGTATTCAAATGAGGACAAGTATATTATAGAGGACTGTGAGGACAGATGTAGTGTGTGACATTAGTCGGTATGTTGTGTGCGTGGCCGAATGTAGTCGTGTGCCACAGTTTGTATGTCGCGTGCTAGATTTGTTAATTTATAGGGTTTGGGTTCGAAACCTGATGTTTACATTTATTCTTGTGTGCCATTATGTATTAAGTTGTGTGCCTGGTATTAATTTGTTGTGTGCCCATTATTTGTCCTCACAGTCCTCTATATATTGTTGTCCTCATTTGAACTCAACCCTATATATATATATATATATATATATATATATAGGAAAATCATTTTGAAGCAGGAAGATATATATTTAGGAGACTCTAGCTTTAAAAACCGAGAATTGACTCAACAGGTAGGTACAAGCACATTCAGCAGTTATAATCATATAAAGATACTAGCATACACCCTAAGGTCACAAGATTATCATTCATATTATCATCTTTCAATCAACCATCTTTATCATATAAGCACACTTTGGTGGCGCCACAGGACCAATCGCATGCCCATACATGAGGGTTAGCGCATATAGTGCTAACACGGCCCCACAGCACCCTGCCTCATACCGCAGCATGAAGGGGTTGACCGTAGCCAACCGATGAACTGTAGCTCATTAGACCGTTAACGAGCTCAACGGTGGACCACAGCCCTACACACCGTTGATGAGCTCAATCGGTGGACCGTTGATATGAACTTAGTCCAAGGTTCAAATAAATATGGAATATTGTCCCAAGATTGCTCTCAAAGTAAATATAGGGATGGATCAAAATACCTTAAACCTCACGTGAAACCCTTTGTCTCGAATCCTCAAAGACTTGGAAGAATCTCATGTAGCTTCGAGTACCTTGATGTTGCAATCTTCAATCAACTAGAGTCGGATCTAGTTTCCTTCGATTCAAGAACGAGTCCACGAACCTAAATCTAAGGTTGAAGAAAGTAAGATTGATTCGAGTCCGCGAATCAATTTGCTAGTCGAGACCACGACTAGCCACTAATTGAGTCCACAATTAGCCATAAGGTTTCTTACACAAGTGTAAAGAAAAACTTAAGAATTTTATTGAATTGAAGCCTGTTTAAAACTGATATGGATGTGCCCTATTTATAGGTATAGGGCAGCATTGTAATATAAATACAATGGGAAAAAGAGTCCTAAACCTAATCTAGAAAACAAGTAAATAGAGTTTTATTTAGAAAATGATTTAAGGAATCCTTTCTAAATACAACTAGTGTTTTCTCTTTTATGCCAAACAATTTAAATTAATGATGATAAAAAATAATAGGGCTGATTTGGGCCTAATCTAATCACCAAAATTAGCACTTAAACAATTATAAAAAGCCTTGAAATCTTCTTCATCTTTTGCAAATGGGCTTGACTTGGATTTCCACCATCTTTGAATATCACCAATGAAGAGTTGTCTTAATCGTTTGGACTTGGGCCTTGTGATTGGCCCAGTTGGTACTCTTGATGGATCTTCATTATGTTGGGCAGCATCATCCTCACCTTCTTGAAAATGATTCGACCTCGAATCTTGTAAGCATTATCTTCGATCCATGATATCACATGAAATGGACCACTATAATACTTTCCTCTATCGAATGGAATTATTATTGGGCCTTCTTGTTTCTTCCACCAATGATTCTTTAAGGATGTAGTTATGGGCCTTGTGATGAGCCCACTATAGACCCTTATTGGATTCCATGTGTACTGGTTCTTATTAACCGTGGCCCTCTTTGTGGACTGCGGCCCTACACACTGTTGACGAGCTCAATCGGTGAACTGCAGCCCCTGTAAGACCGCAGATGAGCTCAGCGGCGGACTACAGCCCTACACACCGTTGACGAGCTCAATCGGTGGACTGCAGCCCATGTAAAACCAATTTGACCGCAGCCAATATTGGGGAGTCATGCACATATAATACGTAGCAAGCACATGCAATTCATATTAACACATTGGGAGAGGGGAGAAAACGTATAATGAAACCTATGCGTGGTCATCTACATACTAGGAATGGTCCTAAGGGGTTCATACATCCTTCACCTAGGTTGCGGGGTACCAATTCAACTAGCATACAATACACAAGACTCTTTTATCCTATGAACAGTACCCGAAACATCAAACTAGACTTAGGCACGATAAACGAAGTCCGTTGGGACACCACGAGGGTCGGGGAAACATCAAACAGGGAAGCCAACATCCCAAGGTGGGGAAGAGTCCAGCGGGTGGAGGACCACCCACCGGCTGCCCGCCGGCGGCAAGTCTCCAGGCAGCGGGTGCCCCGCGGGCAGTCGTCTACCCGCCCGCTGCCCGCTGCCGGCGACGCCAATTTGGGCATCGGGTAGGTAGCGGGTCCCCTTACCCCCCACTGACTCTTTTTCAATATTTTGGTCGCGGGATCCTTCGTGGAACCCGAAACCATGTTTAGACACTTTTAAACACAAACGACGACACCACGTATCAAATAATGGATTAAAACCATGAATCATATTGAACATATCGTAACATGACTTCTAAACATAAATAACACCCGAACATGCGAACTCCCACCCAAATATACCAAGAATATCGCAATACGAAATTCCCAATTCAACCTAGGGCACTAATCATCAAAATCATTGTTTATATTTAAAATCAAGAATATCAAGATTTATCAAGAACATCACACAATTACCAAGATCCTCTTATAATCATCAAGATTATCAAGATCAACACATAAGATCGTCTCATCAATTATCAAGATCATATCATCATCATCATAAAAGATTTATCAAGACACAAGCATAGAGAAGGAGCCAAAGAAGAAGATTATAGCAAAGAAAATAGGTTTTGTTGGGACATGGGTTACCTCTTAGCCTTAATTAAATTCCTTGGCTATTAAGGGTCTTTCTCTAAGATCTCCTCTTCTTGATTTCTCCTATGTTGGTGATAAGCGAATTCTTGGGAATTATATTCTTGTGCGGTGATATCTATTGTGGTGTGTATTCTAGGTGCCTCCTATGTCCCTATTTATATATCTAAGAGTCCTAATTAGGGTCTGAATGGTATGGGTTTGCTAATTCTATTTCTTATAGGATTAAGGGATTGGTTTTGGGGATAAGGGTCCCTGGTCTATGGTGGACCCTTCCTAGTTAATTAATGGAATTTAATTCTCATTTTAGGATAAGTAATTAAATAATTAGTTCGGGTTAGAGGCCGTAACACGGGGTGTTACATGACCGCCCACCAGTGGGTGGCCTGCAGGTGGTCCACCACCCACCGCCCACCCGCTTGAAAGTGGGTGTGCGGCAGGATGTTTTCCTCCGTTTGATGTTTCCCCGTGTCCCGTTGCACCCCGTTGTACCCCATTTGATGTTTATGAGTCTCATGTGACGTTTTGAGTACCGTTCTAGGAATTTGTGTGTAGTGTGTGTCGTTTGTTAATGTGCCTTGATTGTTATTGTTGATTACATGATTGTTTGATTGAATGATGATGCGTATCGTGGTCATTGCGCAATGATCGATGTGACTGATGAGAATGAGATTGTGATTGGTGGAAATGAATTATTGGCGGAAAGTACAACGAGTGCTCAGTTATTGTGCTAAAGGCACGAACCACCCCTTAGACTTGCTAGCTAAAGGCTTGGGTCAGGGTATAAGCGTCGCAGTGTTATGTTAGAGCTATATGCGCTGACCCCTTGGTAGTGGTGCTAGAGACACGGACCATGCGAATGACACTTCGGTGCTACCATGTTGGTGGACTTGTTGGTGGTTATGGAGTGGGGCATGTAGTTGCTCTGGAGGAATAAGGGAGGCGATATAAGGGTGGCCTGGCGGTACATGTTGGAACTGGTATGAGGATGGAGAGGAGTAAAGGTTGGAACTTAGTATAAGGTTGGAAGATGGATTGTGTGCTTTGATGATTACTTGCTAGTTGATTGTCTTTGAATCCCATTGTTGCCTCTATTTGTTACTTATGAGCTTACTTGTCTATTATGTCTTGCCTAGTGTTCTTAGGATGCATGCTAGTCATTATGATTGTTCTATAGTGTCAAGTCTGTTGTTGTGTCTTGAGTTAAAATCTTGGTTTAAAGCTACAGTTGCTTAGGTTATATATGTATTCCTGTTTCAAAATGATTTTATTATATCTACCTATATTGTACTTAACGCGTGGGAGTGGGTTACCAGCATTATTCGCTGACGGTTGTAACACCGTATGTTTTTTAGGTACAGATCAGTAGCTTTAGAGTGCGCTAGATGGACACGAGGACCTAGCTTAGATAGTTTAGTATTGGTTAGATGGCCTGTGAGCCTTGGATTGTATCATGGATATTAATTATAGTTTATGCTTGTTTAGTTAATGTAGCCTGTGCATCTAGGTTCTCAAACCTAGATGTGGCATAGCACCCCGATACTTATGTTGTTAGTTCCGCTTTGTTTGGATGAGTAATGATAGATTTGCCTTTATTTCATATGCTTTATATGTTTTAAAAATTAGGGGTGTTACAGGAGAACTGTCCAGGTAAGCCTAAATATCATGCTTTTACTTCAACTAGCCTTAGTGTTGAGGGTGGACAGAATGCATCCATCCGGCATTCTAATCGGCAAGCTCATGTTGGGCAAGCTGGTCATAGAATTCATGGGATTGCTCCTAATCGGCTAACTCCTAGGGATGTGGCTGGTCATAGGACCCATGGGGATGTTAACCAGGCCTCACACTCGGCATTTAGTGCCCCTATTTTGCTTAAACATGATAATATGCTAAGTGTTGGGTCCCCCCAACACTTAGCACAATTGTTCATACGATCCCGTCAGCTAACTCTACGGTTGGAGCCATGCATGCTAATGCTAATGCTTTGAATGGCACTAACGGTGGGGATATCCTTGATGGGAATAATAGCCAAAACAGCCTAAGTGATGGTAGCTTGCCTAGTGCAAATAGGAATGGTAAATCACCAATTTTGTTTGGTCAATTTTGGGGCATGATACTGTCACATATGGATGGTAAAAAAGCATGGGCTATTTCGGACTGTGCAAAACCGAATAGCCTCCCAGCTTGGCATAGCTCTCGGCCAAGTGGGAATGTGATAAGTGGTAAGCCTAATGGGGGCTTTCAAGCACCGATCGTCCCTAATGCAAGTGACACTAGCAAACACTTCGTTGCTAGTGATGGGGGCATTATGTCGTTTGGTCCCAATATATGTACACAAAGCGGAACTAACAGCGGGAGCAACTTTAAGGGCCACTTTGGTAGTCATGGTGGCATTCAACCGGTTGTCCCTAATATGTGTACACAAGTGCACTCCCCGCTTAATATAATTAAGGCACATGGTTTGGCTTCTACTCTGGGTTTGGGGCTTAACATTCAAAATGTGCTAAATCCCAATGTGAATCTAAACTTATCTAGTCCCACTCCAAGAATGTCTAACTCTGTCCCTCTAACCCCGTCTAAACTATGTCCAATCCCATCTAAACCCCTCCTAACCCGATCTAACTCCTTCCAACACAACCTTACCTTGTCTAACTCTCGCCCAACCCAAAAACCTAAACCCACTCTTGGAACCATATATATTTGCGCTTGTTGGTGGTTGGTGATTTGGCTGGTTGTTTCTATAAGGGGTTGGGAGGGTGTGAGGTGGGCTTCTGGTACTTAGCATATATGATATTGCTTCTATGGATGGCTATATAGGTTCCCCGGGTAAAATACAGTACGCTGTACCGTGGGAGCTGGTTTGACGCTTGAGGGTGGTATATATGTTGGCACCAGTGGTTAGGGAGCCATCGCTTGGGACTTTGGGCCGTTGAAGCCCTCTGCGATAAAATGCAGAGCTCTGTACGTACGGGGGTGGCCTGGGTTCCAAGGGTGGGTGGAGGTGAGTACCATTGCTCATGTGGCGAACTTTTCACAGTCCCCCCGGATAAAAATGCAGAGATCTGTACCGGAGGGGATCTGTCCAACGCATGAGGGTGGTTTGGGTTTGGCGGCTGGTTTCATTGCTCCTGTGGATGGTCATATAGGTTCCCTCGGATAAAAATGCAGAGCTCTGTACCGCGGGGGACCGACCTCACGCTTGAGGGTGGAATTGGTCCGTCATGGCTTTTGGAGCATCGTTCCCACCCTTTGTGTAGGGCATGACGCCCAGGAATTGTCTAGCCTTTCACTCGGTTTCAGGTTGCTTGCATTATGGGTGTTGGGCCCACTTCGTAGTTTAGAGTTTCTCCTCTACTTGTTCCCTGTTAGGCCATCATGCTTTATTTGTAGACTTGGTCACTTTTGGGCCTTGGCGAGACTTTGTTCGGTTCCTTTTTGTTTATAAATAAGATGAACCTTTTATTTAAAAAAAATAAAAAATAAAAAATAAAAAATAATAAAAAACCCTAAACCCTAAAACCACCCTAAACCCTAAACCCTAACTATTCTAACGCTAAACCCCTAAATTACCCTAAACCCCTAAAACCACCCTAAACCAAAACCCTAAAACCACCCTAAACCCTTAAACTACCCTAAACCCTAAACACTAAAACCACCACAAACCCTAAACCCTAAACTAACCTAAACCCTAAAACTAAAACCTTACACTTTAAACCTTTAAATCACCCTAAACCCTAAACACTTAAACCACCCTAACCCCTAAACCTTAAAAAACCTATACCCTAAACCCCTAAACCACTCTAAAACCACCTTAAACCCTAAACCCTAAACCCACTCTAAAACCACCTTAAACCCTAAACGCTAAACGCTAAACCCTAAACCCTAAAGGAGGCAATCGTGAGGCAGCTATGATTGAGGTTGATGTGCTTCAACAGCTTGGTAAACATGATAAAGGAGGCAATCGTTGTGTTCAAATACGGAACTGGTTTGACTATCGTAACCATGTTTGTATTGTCTTTGAGAAGCTTGGACCAAGCTTATATGATTTTCTACGGAAAAACAATTACCGCTCATTTCCTATTGACCTTGTCCGTGAGATTGGAAGACAACTGTTGGAATGTGTAGCATTTATACATGACTTGCATCTCATCCACACTGATTTGAAGCCTGAAAATATCCTCCTTGTTTCTCCTGAGTATGTGAAGGTTCCTGATTACAAGTGCTCTTCCAGATCACTTAAGGATACTTATTTTAAAAGAGTCCCAAAATCAAGTGCAATCAAGGTAATTGATTTTGGTAGCATAACTTATGACCGTGAGAACCAAACCTATATTGTATCCACACGTCATTACCGGGCACCAGAAGTCATTTTAGGTCTTGGATGGACCTATCCATGTGATATATGGAGTGTTGGTTGTATCCTTGTGGAGCTATGCTCGGGAGAAGCATTATTCCAAACTCATGAGAATTTAGAGCACCTAGCTATGATGGAGAGGGTGCTTGGTCCTATGCCACTGCACATGTTAAAGAGAGTGGATCGGGATGTAGAGAAATATCTTAGAAAGGGAATGTTGGATTGGCCTGAAGGTGCAGCATCAAGAGAAAGTATCAGAACTGTTCTTAAATTACCTCGGCTTCAGAACCTCGTGATGAAGCATGTAGACCATTCCGTTGGGGATCTTATTAATCTTTTGCAAGGATTACTTAGATACGACCCTTCAGAGAGGCTTACTGCTCGGGAAGCCTTGCAGCATCCCTTCTTCTCAAGGGACCATCTTAGGAGATTGTGAGACTGGAGTAATTAAGAGCTTTGTTTTATGAGAGTATGATTCTGGCAAAAGCTAGACTACTTGTGTGAAGCACCACCTTAGCCACCTGATTAGGTTATATTTCATTAAGTTGGTGGTTTAAGGTATGCATTCCAAGGGAGTTGGGTAGAGCTTGTGTAAATAGGGATGATGTCCTCTGTTAACTACATTCTTGGATAGAGTACGTGCATAATAGTTAACACTGCCTTGACCAGCTAATTTGTGTGTAGAGTAATGGGGTATTACTCTTTTATTGTCCCAAAAAAAAAAAAAAAAAAAAAAAAAAAAAAAACCTAAAACCACCCTAAACATAAAACCTTACACTCTAAACCCTTAAACTACCCTAAACCCTAAACCCATAAACCACCCTAAATCCTAAACACTTAAACCACCCTAAACCCAAAACCCTAAAACCACCTTAAACCTAAACCCTAAACCCATAACCATAAACACTAAAACCACCCTAACCCTAAACACTAAAACCATCCTAAACCCTAAACCTAAAACCTTTAAACCACCCTAAACCCCAAAAAATATAAATCGTAAACCCTAAAACCACCCAAAACCCTAAACCTATAAACCACCCCAAACCGTAAACCCTAAACCTTAAACCAGAAAAAAAAAAAAAAAAAACCACCCTAAACCCTTAATCTACCTTAAACCTTAAAACCACCATAAACCCTTAATCTACCCTAAACACTTAATATACCCTAAACCCTAAACACTAAAATCACCCTAAGCCCTAAACCTAAAACCTAAAACCTTAAACTCTAAACCTTTAACCCACCCTAAACCCTAAAAATCCAATCTCTAAACCCCTAAACCACCCTAAACGTAACCCTAAACTCTAAAACCACCTTAAACCCTTAAACCACCCTAAACCTTAAAACCACCTTAAACCCTAAACGCTAAAACCACCCTAAACCCTAAATAGTTAAACCACCCTAAACTCTAAATCCATAAACCATCCTAAAACAGTCTAAACCCCTAAAACACCCTAAACCCTAAACCTTAAACCGTAAAACCACCCTTAACCTTAAAACCACCCTAAACCCTAAACCTTAAACCTTAAAACCACCCTAAACCATAAACCCTAAACACTTATACCACCCTAACCCTTAAACCTTAAAAAATAAACCCTAAACCCTAAAAAACCTAAACCCCCATAAAGCCTAAAACCACCCTAAACGTTAAACCCTTAAACCACCCCAAACCCTAAACTCTTGAATCTTAAGAATTTGCTGGTCTGAATGCCGAAGGTGCACTTTGCTGGATTCAATCGCATCTAATACCGATGCATAATCTCAAAACAAGCCCGGAGATCATGACTATGCTCTGCCCTATCCGAACTCTTCACCAACATGTCGTCTACAAAAGCCTCCATTGTCCGCTCGAGCAGACCTTCAAAAAACAAGTTAATCATTCTTTGGTATGGGGCCCTAGCATTTCGGACACCGAAAGGCATAACCCTGTAGCAGTAAAACCCGTCTGGGGTGATGAAGGGGGTTTTGCTCTCATCCTCCTCGGCCATCATGATTTGATGATAGCCCTTGAAAGCATCCATAAAACTCATAAGATTAGCTCTAGCCATTTCGTCCACCATCTAATGAATTCTCGGGAGGGGGTACAGGTTTAAAGGGCATGCCTTGTTCAAATCTGTGTAATTGATGCACATGCACCAAGTCGACAGCTTGGGGACGAGGATAACATTCGCTACATAGTCGGGATAGACGATTTCCTAGACATGCCCTATAGCTGCTAGCGTCGTGACCTCCTTTCGCATGAACTCTCGTCTATCAAACGATAAATGTCTTTGCTTTTGCTTTACTAGTCTCATGGTCGGATTGACACCCAAACAGTGGCATATCACTGGCCGGTCATTGCTAGGCATGTCCTCTAAGACCCATGCAAAATTATCGGCGTATTCGCGCAAGACTGCCAAGACCGAGCTCCTCTGCTCGAGGCTCAATGACTTCCCAAGCCTGACCCTCCTTTCCGGTCGGCTTTCCTCCAAAGGGATCTCGTCCACTTCATCCGACGGCTCGGGTTGTTCCTTCTTCTCCTCATCATTTCTCTTTGAGATTGTGTTAACTCGGGAAGTTCCGGTTGCCTGCTTTTGTACCGCCTGAACATAGCATCGCCGTGCAAAATGAGCATCTCCTCCTCTCAGGACCTGGAACTTCATGCATAAGTGACTCATCGAGATGATCACCCGATTTGCGCTATACCTGGCCGTCCCAAGATGACGTTGTGAACACAATCAAGGTTGACAACTACAAACTACATATCAGCTTTTAACACACGGGGGTGAGTGCCTACCTCAACGGGTAGTCGGATGACATCCTCCAGTTGAATCATGTCGCCCGTAAAACCTGATAAGGGAGTTCGAACGGGTGTCAACATGATCGGGTCGAGCTTCAATTTCCTGAAGACATCTATGTACAGTACGTTAATGCTACTACCGGTATCTACCATCACACTCTGTACGTCAACACCCATGAGTCAATGGTAACGACTAAGGCCTCTACATTGTGGTAGGGGTTCGCGGGCAAATCATCATTCGTGAAAGTGATCGGCTTGACCCTTGCAGGTCCTGAGACAAATGACATCTTTCGTGTGAGTTATCTCTCCCTTCCGATCCTTCAAAAATTACATGGATTACTTTCTTGGACCTGGCCGGCGGGGTTTCATGATCTTGCTCTGCTCAGATTCTTTGTCTTTCTTATCTTTGTCCGATTTCTTGAAAATCTTTTTCCAAGATTTTTTTTCCCTTGTCCTTCTTGGCAAAAAACTATGCAAGCTTACCTGATTTTAATAGGTCTTTGATCAGTTCTTGGACTTGTTCGGGCTGTCCCGGGCTTGCTCCGGCAACTGGATTAAAGTATATCATAATTGAGGACCTCCAGCGTAGGGCGGTTTAACAGGGTATACACGAGGTTCCCGTCCCGATCTTTCTATCGTTGGTCAAATTAACTTTGACAGTCTCGGGCGGAGGCGCTCCCCTCCCCGGAGTGTGGTTGAGATCCATGCGTGAGTTAAGGTGAGACCGAGGTCTGAGCTGCTCTCCTCGGCTTCCTGGTCGTTAAAGAAATCCAAGTACGGATACATTTTGGGCAGAGATCGGTAGAGGCAAATTGAACGGCTTGTTGCGTACCGGTCCTCACGGACCGTGACAAATGATGTAGTATATATGACAGGTATACTTTACAAGGTATGGTTCTAGGTTGGTTCCGGGTTCGGATCCTTAACTTGGTTTCCTTGTTAGTTTAATAGAAAGAGCTCGATATACGTGACAGTGGGTCAGAGGTATTAGAGCTAATGTGTATTGAAGTAGCCAAAAATCCCCACTGACAGCAAAAAATGCGGTATTTATAGGGGACGCGAGGGGACATGGCATGTGGAAACCATACACGAGTCCAGGCTAAGCACACTACATCATGCCACGAGGCACCAATAGGTCGGTGTGTCGGAGGTCGTAAAGCCATCCATGAGTTTACCCTTCGGTTAAGCCTGGTGAGCATTGAAGGTCAGGAAGGTATGCCCTCTAGGTCGGTCATGGTCGGGTCGGGCTCGGCCAGTCCCAAGGGTCTGTTACAGACCATCGTATGGGCACAGGTGCCCGGGGAATAATCCCCATCAGAAATTAAAATAATAGTATAACGCCCGAAACGTGCTAACTGTTTGATAGAAAAGAGCAATTAAGGCATACAATTCAAACTTGCTAAAGAAATATATATACACCAAAAGATGTCATGAACAGGCAGTGATGCAATAAAAAGCGAAAGCGAGTTGAGAAAGATAAAAGGGTTTTTCGTAGAGGCCCAATATTGGTCATATCCTTACATGGCATTATATTCCGCTATTTGATAAGACTAGTAATAAATAAATTAGATATGTAGCTAATAGGCATAGTTACCGCATATTTATCTGGGTAACTAGTTACTTATACTTGTTTTAAAAATTCCTAATAGATTTTCTCAAAATGTAATGAATGAAAATCACAAAATAAGAAGTATAAAAGCTACTAATAACTATGATCTTTCTTATAGTAAGTATTTTCTTCCCGAAGAAGAAAGTGTGGAAAATGAAAGTATATTATCATAATTAATATTAAAACATGCCTAGAAGTAGTATGTGTGATTAGAAAACTCAAGTATTGTTTCCTATAAGGATACCTATAAGCCCACTTGAAAAATGTCTGTTGGTCCCGATAGGGTGGTAGAAAGTCTGGGGGGGGGGGGGTGAATAGACTTTCTAAGCTTTTTCACACTAAATAACTCTTTGGTAATTTCAACTCTAAATAACAAGTAAATAGAGAAGTATTTAACTTAAAGTGGACGGCGGAATAAGTATGTGTAAAGAGTTATGCACAATCAATAACTTGAATCACATGCACATGTTAGATAAGTTCAGATGATGTGTAAGGATGACAAAAATAACTTGAATATTTAAAGGAGATGGTGCACTCAATATTTAACCATATTATTCAAGATTATAAATAAGACTTCGTGTCACGTCAACCGTATGATGAATGTCACATGCAATACGTCAACCTTGCTTAGAATAATTCAAATGTTAAGCATGGAAAGTTTGAGTTACATGCATACGTGAAAACACACTAAACCCGAAAGATTAAGATTGACAGTGAATAGTAAACGGGTTAGTCAAATGATAAATAAATAAAGCGAATTATGTAAGTGCGGTCTGTAAATGAGAGAGGCAATTTATAGTGGTTCGGAAGTGGTGTAATCTTCCTAGTCCACTTTACTCCATTCACTTCTAGGAGTAATTCACTATTTTCCACACACAGTTACAATAGTGAATAAACGCTACACAAGCACTTCTTCCGGATGTCTTGCACACAGCTACACCCAACTCCGAGTGTCTTGCACACAGCTACACTCAACTATGAGTATTTCGCACACAGCTATACTCAACGCCAACTAAGTATTTTGCACACAGTTACACTTAGCAACTACGAGTGTTTTGCACACAGCTACACTCACTAGAGTATTTTGCACACAGCTATACTCTTTTTACAATTACAAATACAAAGGTAATTGTATCTCTCTCCAACTAGTTTTGAGACTATTCAAACTAAGTCTCTCTTCTAGATATTTCAATGAATATTTGAGCACTTTGTATTTCTAGAATTCGCACTAGTTCATCCGTGTTGTATCTTCAAGTCTTCATGGCTTTTTATAGACAATCAAATATATCTGTTGGAGCGGGATAATTTGATTTTTGAAATTTTA